CTGGTATGACTGTCAAAATCTGTACTACTTTACCTAACTCAGGATTTTTACTATACAGATCCTCTGCTCATAGATCCTATCTTGATTTATTCATGTAATACAACTCCAACATTCTGTCACACTTCTAATATTTAAACAATATTAGTGCAACATGATTTATAGGGTTACAACTCCAGAAACAGACAAAGTTTACTATAAGTTAGGTACAAGATTTGAGTAATTATTCAAAGTGTTAACAGAAGGATTTGAACCCCAAATCTATTACATGGTAGTCTGACAACTTATTCACTACACTAGATCACTAGACCTTTATTATTAATATTAATTACTACATATTATTATTAATATTATTTTATAATTTTTTAGGTTCTAAAAGTAGTATTGCTACATGATTAAAAAATATAAATCCTTTTATAACCTCAGTACATTGTATTGCATATCATTTACATCTTGTGATCCAAAATACAACTAAAGAAGTTCCTTATTTTAAAGAATATGAGTGTATTTGTGTAAGTCTCTCTATAATTATTTTAGTAGCTTGTATAAATGAATACTAAATTTAAAAATGATTCAAGAAACCAAAGATAATCTGCAATTAAATTTGTTTAATATTATTAATATATAATAGCTTTCTATATCAAATACTATTAGAAATTTATATCAAATTCTTAACTCAGTTAAGGATGTATTGAATTACAATATTATAACTGTTGAAAATAAATAAGATTAAAAGAAGGTTAAAGAATTGTTAAATAATTTAGACTCAAATTTTATATTAAATACAAAGTTTCTTGCTAATTTAATGTTTATTTTAACAAAATTAATTAATATTTTTCAATGAGATTATGTTAATATTTCTGATGTTCAATTTAATCTGAATATAATAATTTCAGCTATTACAATACAATTTATTAACAATAAAAATGTGATACTAATATATAGAACATTTTTACATAAATATTTAAAAAAAAATTCTATAAATTTAGCACAAATTCCCTCTTTAATTACAGAATTTGCAAAAGCAATTATCAAAGGGTTAAAATCCTATTTTTCAATTATAAGTTTATATAATTCAATAAAAATTTTTGAACCAAACCTATTACCTTGAAAAGATTCTGATTTTTCAAATTATAGCAAAGTCGAAATTGAATTATTAGCTAGTTTTTATAGTAATGATAAACAAACTAAAAATAGCAAAATTGTTACAGCTTTAATTGATAAACAAGAATTAAAACAAGAATAGAGATTAGTAAAAGAAATAATGAATACTATGTGAGAATTTAATCTTATAGAAGGATAGAATTTTATTTTTTTTACAAAACTATATTTTTGTTATGAATTTCCAAATATTTTTTTACTTATTAAACTTACACTTATTATTCTTTTATCTAATACATATGTTGAATATATTTTTTTTCAATATAAATTAGCTAAAAACAAATTATGAAATCAAATAAATACAAATACACTTAATATGCTTTTAATAATTAATAAAAATGTACTAGATAATATGATCTTTTTGACTAGAAATCAGCATATTATTTTTGGAAAGAATATGTATAATAGTTAGTAGATATATTGTTTTTTATTTTTATTTTTTTAAAAATTAGATTATTATTTTTCTTAGATAATTTTTTTTAATTGATAAATAAAAATTCTTTATAAATTTTTTGTGTAGTTTATTGTATAATTATGCAATTTGCATTGAGTTATCTTGTATAATATATTGTTAATTTTGTACAAGTAACAATACATGCATAATGAATTTTTAATACTAGCTTAGGTGTCTTGCCTTTTACTTTAAAATACTTTTTTTAATATATTGTAACTGTTTATAATGAATACACTTGATTTTTGTACTAAATTTAGTAAATTTAGTATAGTAGCTGATGCTAAAATTTAGGATCTTAATTTAAATCTTTAAATTCTCTAAAAATGTACTCTAGAAAATTTTTAGATAATTCGCTAGTTAATAGGTATATAATTATAGTACAAATTACTATATATTCAAATACTACAATTGTTAAAGGAAAATTTTTTTCTCACTATGTTAATTAATAATATATCTCTAAATAAAGCTTATTAAAATAAATCTAACAGTGATTAGATCTTCAAAATTAGTTTAGTGATTGATAAGATATTGCAAAAAAATGATTAACTACCTATATAAAATTAATTTTTACATAGTTAATTGTTTTTTAATGATATCTCACCAACTAATAAATTAATTTTAATAATTTAACTACTAATAGATTTGTCTTAATGAACTTTATACTTTTAATTAGAGCTATATTAGTAATTAATGTAGTGGCTGAAGCTAAAAATTTTTAATATTTTATTATTAAATTTTTAAATTTTTTTGTGATATATTTTTTATAGTTAGATTAGAATTTAGAGTTAAAGTTTATATTAAAAGAGTATAAGTAGATTTTAGCAAAATTTATGATTTCAAATTAAAACTTCTAATTTTTAGTTTCATTATTTTTAGTTTTATTTTTTACAATTAATATATAAAAAGTTTTTTTTTAAATAATTGTAGTATTTTAAATTTATAAAATTATATTGTAATTTATATCTTATTATATTATAATCATATATTTGCTAACTACAATAGTAAATTATTAATAAATATAATAATAAAAAAATTTTAGTATTAGCTATCATATTTAGTATAGTTAAAAAAAATAAAATAAATATAAATCTTGATAGGATCTATAGACAGGGAACCTGCATAGTAGAAATCCCAAGTTTGGTGAAGTAATACAGATTTCAACAGTTAAGTCAGTTAATACCTGATCTAGTGAAAAACTTGAGTACAAAGGATGTGAGATCAATAGGTGCGAGTAAGTCTGCTGTATAATACAGCCTGGTACTTTGCATTAGTAGCAACACTAACTTGGCTTAGCAGCTAACTAGATTGGGAGGATCTATCTTGTAAAATATCTAGCTAGAACTTGGAGAACTATATCTAGTAGACAGTCATAGCAGGAACTGGGTTTGTACAAATATTGACAAGGGTCTAATTCAGATGAATCTGTGAAATAGGCACATGATCACTCTGGTAAGAATTACTTCTGAGATTAACTGGAGCTCTGCAGCTCACAATACATTAGGCATATGCATCTCAAAAGGACCTAAGCTGTGCATAGAAATAGATCTACAGGTGAACTAGCTAATATAAGCAGTTAGTTATAGTAGTAATGTTAGTTTGGAATGGAGGAAAGGTTAATAATCAGAGTATTTAAATAAGTAACTCATAGGCGGGTTGCAGATATAGCAGCATAGTGTAGAACTAACAGATGGTTGATCGTCTGTATGGCAGATTACTTAAATTAGACAATGACTAAAGTTGTACATGTGGCTTATTGTACACTCATCATATAACTGTAAAACCTTAGGAAACTGTTCATGTGATAGTTCTGCAATAACAAACTAATAAAAATTTAATCAGCTAAGGAAGTGGTCTTAATAATAAAAAAAAATAAAATAAATACAAAATTTTAATATCATTTAATTCTTTTTAATAAGAAGAATTAAATCTAATTACTAAATTATATAATATTTAATTTAACTATATTATAATTAGAATGTTGCTATTTTTATCTTTTATTCTTGCTAATATTACTTCTAAAAATATATAAAAATACTTTAAAAAAGATATTATTATTAAAGTATTACTAAATATCACTACAAAAGATTATTACTAATATATAATTAACTAATAAAATTATAGGATCAAATATAATGTTTTGTATAAAAAAAACAATTTTTTTTTAAAAATTATAAATATAGCATCTTAAAAATTTAATTATAAAACTATTTTTTGAGTTTTAATAAAAGGACTTAATTAGGTATCATACCCTGCAATGTAACTATACATTGCATCTAACAATTTATCCAATCAGATTTGATAATCAGATGTAATGTTATATTTGTTTTGAAGATTAGGTATAATATAAAATTTTTGTTTTTTTGCTTATTTTTTAAAGAAATAACAAATATCTCAAAATTTTGATTATGAAACCACCTTTGGCGTTCTAATTAAAAAAATTCCTTGCTAAATTTTACTATA